ACAAAGTAAGCCGGCGTATAAATACAACAGGACAGAACGCAACCATGCCCTCACCACACCACCAATTCACAAGCACCATTCACCATGGACATGATAGTGACCTCCCGCAGAAGGGCTCTGGAGACACGGACTATCCGGCCGCAGTCCTCCACTATGCGCTCGTGGGCTAAAACCAGTCCTCTGTCTTTCAAAAGATCCACAAATGTGGCCGCATCCAGGGCTGCGTACAGCCCCGCCGTGCTCGCGTCTCCGGAGGGGTTCGAGTTGAGCGCGGCGCTCAGTGGAGATCCGGTGCGCAGTAACGAGAAGGAGCAGCTCCAGGGGCTCAACGACCGCTTCGCCAGCTACATCGACAAGGTTCGCTTCCTCGAGGACCAAAACAATCAGCTGGAGGCTGAGATCCAAGCGCTAAAGCAGCAGAACTTGCCGCAGTCCCTGCAAAGCGATGCGTACGACCGCGAGCTCCAAGACCTGCGCTGCGCCCTGGAGCAGCTCCACAAGGAGAAGGCGCAGATGCTGCTCGACATGGACCACGTGGATGAGGATCTGCAGCGGTTCCGGGAGCGCTACGAAGATGAAGCCAGGTTCAGGGAGCACACGGAGGCTGCGATCCGGGGCATGAAGAAAAACAAGGACGACTCGCTTCTGATGAAGCAGGAGTTGGAAAGGAAGGTCCAGGCGCTCGTGAACGAAATGGACTTCTTGCGGCAGAACCACGAGGAGGAGATCAGCGAGCTTCTGGCTCAGCTTCAAGCCGCGCAGGTGCCGGTGGTGGAGATGAGGGACCTCCAGAAGACCGACATCACCTCTGCGCTCCGGGAGATCCGCGCGCAACTGGACGGGCTCTCCTCCAAGAACCTCCAGCAGGCCGAAGAGGTGTTCAAGTGCCGCTATGCCATGCTGACGGACGCCTCGGAACACAACAAGGATGCTATGAAGTCCATACGGGACGAGATCGCAGACTACCGCCGTCAGATCCAAGCCAAGAACATTGAGCTGGAGGCTCTTCGTGGCACCAAAGATTCATTGGAAAGGCAGCTGCATGATATCGAAGACCGCCACAACACCGACGTTGCCAGCTATCAGGTCAGTTTATTTAAAAAAAAAAAAAAGTAAATAGATTGTAAGTTTAACTTAAAATATTAAATGTATAAAAATGTAACTAATTAATAAATTAATACAAAAATAAAATACACAATTATATATCGCGCAACCACTTGAAATACTGGCTTTCGAATGCTTTTACGTAGTTTTCATGATATGACGATAGTGTTTTGTTCTTAGTGTGTGTTTATTTGCTGATTCAAAGGCACATGGCTGTGTTGCAAAATATAGGATGGCCCAAAAATGCTGCACACTAGGTTTTAAACCGCAGCCATTATTTCACATGTGGTTTGCGCACTGCGTGCGTAATCATGCGCAACGAGCAGTGCGCATACTTTATACTAGCGCTGCAGGATTTCATTTTAGTGGCCTGTTGACTTAGTTTGAGCCAGACCTGGTATAATTTATAAAACAAGTTCATCAAACGGATGTGGGGTGCTGCACTGGGTAGTAAAAGAACCAAATTAGAACTTTAATTAATTTAGTTGTTTATTAAAAGTTGTTTAATAAAAGTGAACAGATTCTTTTTAGTCAGTACTTCTTGTTTAAATTTAAGTGCAATCTAATGAAGTTGTGAATTGATTTATTGCATCTGCTTCAACAGGAAATGATTCACCAATTGGAAAATGATCTGAAAGGAACAAAATGGGAAATGGCTCGTCATCTTCGGGAATATCAAGATCTGCTTAATGTCAAGATGGCACTGGATGCTGAAATAGCAGCTTACAGGTAGAGTTGTGCTCCTTTTTGCTCTATTGCATGTCGTTGATTTGATTAATGACTGTTTTCTCTCTCAAATGTAGGAAACTGCTGGAGGGTGAGGAGACGCGCTTCCGTACCGTCTCCGGAAGTATTTCAACCCCCGTGTTTGCCTACAGCCAGCCTAAAACCTCTAAGGTCAAACATAAAATAGTGGAGGAGATCATCCAGGAGACCAAAGGAGAGAGTGACCTTGACGATGATCTGGCAGAGGTGGCTAAAGAAGTGGTGGAAGAAGCTGGTGAGGGTGAAGAGGAGGAAAAGGAGGAAGAGATTGTCACCGCCAGTGAGGCCAAAGTGAGTTCTGCTGCTCCTGAGGCTGAAGAAGAGGAAGAGGCAGAAGGAGGAGAAGAGGGAGAAGCTGCTGAGGAGGAAGAGGAAGCAGAAGAGGGGGAAGAAGCGGAAGAAGGTGAGGAGGAAGAGGAACAACAAGTGGAAGTGATCGAGGAGACAGAACTCTGCGGTGATAAATCTCCAACAGCAGAGAAAGAAGGCAGCGAGAAAGACGAAGAAGAAAAGAAAGAGGAGGAGGAGGGTGGTGAAGAACAAGAGGCGGAGAGTAAAGAAGAAACCAGAGATGATGAGGAGGAGAAAGAAGAAGCTGATGAAAAAGAGGAGACCAAATCCGAAGGAGATGAAGAGAAGAAAGACGAGTCTGGAGGAGAGGAAACGAAGGCTGATTCAGAGAAGAGCGACAAAAAGAGCGATTCAGAAGAAGACACGAAGAAATCAGCAGAAAAGGAGAAACCAGTAGAAGAAAAGCAGCATGAAAAAGAAGAAGAAAAGGAAGAAGCCAGTCCGAAAGAAGAGGTCCAAACCAGAACAGTAGAAACCATCATCAATGGAGACAAGGAGAGCAAACCTGACACAGAGAAAAAGAAGTCCGAGGAAAAACCTCAGGAGAAAAAGAAAGTCACCAAGAAGGTGGAGAAAGTCAGTCCGCAGGCAAAGAAGGAAATCAAAGGAAAAGACTGATGCAAATGACTTTGACAGGGAATTAGTTATAATCAATTGTTAGAAATAATTCTATTTGATGCAAATGGCGTTTGATGCATCTAGCAAAAATAATTGCATGCATGGTAATGACTGACTTGCATGTGTGGTCTGGAGCCATGCTGAGCCGTCGCGACTGAAACAGAAACTATAGCGCGTTTGAATTAAAGTGCAAGTACATTTATGCTGCTAATGACTCGAACGATGAGAGATTTTACATGAATGTGAAGTTCTTCAGCAGTTGTTTGGCAATAATGGTGCTATAATATCATCATTATTTCAAATGATATGATGTCTTTCTAGTATACTTCTTGCCTTAAGACATAATGCACTGACTCAATGATAAGACTCGGGTTGTTAACATGAAACACAACAGCTGTTAGCAATGATACTGTGAAAGCTAAAGGTGCTGCTCTTTGCAATATCACCTCAATCAATAAAAGCTCATCAAGACCTTACAAAACTCCTGTGTGTTTGAAATTATTCTACTGTACACTGCTGTTCAGAAGCTCGTCTCTTATGTCTCAGAAGTCTCTTATGCTCATCAAAAATACTGGGAAAACAGTGAAATATTATTACAATCTAAAGTAAACATTTCCCATGTAAAACTTTTCAAAATAGAATTTATTCCTGTGATTCAAAGCTGAATTACTCCAGTCTGCATTGTCACATGATCCTTCAGAAATCATTCTCATATGCTGATTTGCTGTTCGAGAAACACTTCTTGTCAATGTTGAAAACAACAGGGTTATTAAGAGTTAACTTAAAAATTCTAAATCATGTCTGTGACTTGAAATCAAATACATTTAACTAAAATAATATCAAAGGCAACATTTCTTATTTTTGCTTAAATAGTAAAATAACTAAAACCAATAAATAAACATTAATAAAAAAATACAGACATTTGTTTTTAAAAAAAAAAAAAACTAATAAAAATGACAAAAAATAAAAAACAATACAAAAACTTTTACAATTAAAATGATAACAGGAAATTTAAAATAATATCTAATTAAAAATATAAACAAAAACTATAATAGTATTTCAACGATGATACTAAAATAACACTGGAAAACAGTTGCGCTGCTTAATATTTTGTATAGACTATGTTCTTTCGCCATTTTCTTCCAGATTTATTGATAAAAAGGAAGTTTAAAAACTGCATTTATTTGAAATTGAAATTTGTAACATTATAAATGTCTTTACTGTCTCTTTTGACCAATTTAATGCACCCTCGCTGAATAAAAGTATTAATGTCTCTTAATAGAACCAAATAGCACAAAGATTATCACAAAAAAAGTAAGTTCACACATAAACCTAAACATTTCTATTTTGTCACAAAGTCACCAGTGCAACATTAATTTTAAAATAAAGTAAAAAAGTAATTTCAGCACTTTTTATTAATGGTGAAATGGTTCAAAAGTTCAAAAGAACAGCATTTATTTGAAATATAAATTTTGAAATTTGTAACATTATAAATGTCTTTACTGTCTCTTTTGACCAATTTAATGCATCCTCGCTGAATAAAAGTATTAATGTCTCTTAATAGAACCAAACAGCACAAAGATTATCACAAAAAAAGTAAGTTCACACATAAACCTAAACATTTATATTTTGTCACAAAGTCACCAGTGCAACCCACAATTCACAAAGTTGCTTCTCTTACTGCTTTCATAAAATGCTTCCTGCATAATAAAAATATTAAGATTACAAATTTCCT